TAGCAAATGGAATAATGTAAGAAAATTATAGAAAATTGTTGTTTCTTTAGCTCGTTGTAATGCTCGTTAATGTTAATGAAAAACATTTGTTTCGCATCCTTAATAATAAAAAGACAAAATAAATAAATTTTGGACTTTATCTGTAGAAAGCATTTGAATTCCTATATAATGAACAAGTTCTGAACCACAAATCCTTTGCATTTGTGTGTTCTCGGGGAAAAGTGTATAATAATTTCTATAAAAATGTCTCCTCAACTCGGTAGGGGAGAGTAAAAGGTTTTGGTCCTTGTCAGATAAAAGTTCTGCACTAACTTAATCGGCCGTAATTTGTTTTCGGAAAGAGGAAATTTTCACTGCTGCAAAGCCTTTCATATATATACCCGAAGCCGCTCTATATGCAAATCGCCTACATATCTGTTAAACTTAAAATGCATGCCTCGGAGATTTTGGAAAGATTAAATACAAGGAAACGTTTTCAAGTTAAGATTGAAGTTACAAAAATCAGAGTAGGTAACTGACACGCCAAACACATACATCCCTATTCAGTTTTGAAAACGAGCTTCAGTTGCCTACGATCGCACCCACTGCAGTTATTACATATATAAATTAATTTTGGATATTGAGCGTCACTTGAATAATGCCACTATACCGCTGAAGTGGAACGCATGTGCTTTCTTTTTGATTAAGCGGAATATTGGGATAAAAAAAAAAACGCCAAACACTGAAAAGCGTCACTTTTTCTAAATTTCCTCGAGAAGATTCAAAAAATGTACGCATTTTCTTAAGATTTTTCTATTTCATGCAGTCAAATACTACCTTATAGCGACTCTTTCAAAGTAAGGCAGGCTGCATGTGGGAAGTGGTCGTCAAACTAGTTTGATTCAAACGATTTTCAGTACGAATCGTTCTTGGGCCAAATAATGCCAATATACCAAATCTTGATACCTCTCGAAAAGCGCAGACTGCAAATTCAGCACGAAACACAAGGAGCGTTTGCAGGACGGACAGACAGACCAAAGTGCTTAAATCGTATTAGAACATGATTGCGAGTCGATATAAATAAAAAAGAGCTGGTTTTTCTCAATATTACGCACACGTGCACAAACGTATTTACACACTCACTACAAGCGGTGTGGAATATAAATTTTTTGATTTTTTTTTTTAACAAAAGCTTAGTATATTGTCGATCAGCTCTGTCTATATCCACGGTCAACATTCATTGTCTCCCAACTTGAGAGGAAAAGCTTGACACTTTTGTGTTTAGTCTGCTGGGGGCGGTATCGTAAGGTGAGTGCGGCCACAATATTTAACAAATCGGTCCCTACATTTCATACAAGCATCTACTAAAAGATGAAAAGCGAAAAATAGTGGTTTCTCTTGATCACCTGACCCGTTCCGTTCGCAACTCTGCAACTGCTGCTACGTTATAGAGTAATAGCGAAACTCTGCTTTCCGGCGAATATATATATATTTCCGTTCATATCATCAAGCTATTTATTAGGGTTAGCCATATTGTTACACCTGACTGTATGTAAACTTAACAATAAGAAAATTATTTCATCATAGAGTCAGTCACGCTCAAATATAACTTTAAACTGCGCACCGTTGATGGTTAAATGTATTCTGTTGTGACGAAATGTCCCACTTAAACAACCCTCAAGTTGACTTGAAGTTCACTCAAGCATTTCACTGGGTTTTTCAGCCCTACAACAAATTAATTCTAGCTTTTAGTTTTTATTTTCTTAGTTTTATTTAGAAGAAAAACCACCAACTGTTTGCTGTAATGACTTTTCACAAGACGAGCACGAGTCAAATGTTCTTTTGAAAAAATTAAAAAAAATAAATAAATAAATTTCTTTCTTGTTTGCTTTCTTTGAAAAGAAATTTTCAAATTTGATATGAGACAATTTCTTTCTCTCTAATGGCTATCAAAAATTCAATATAATTTCAAGAAGACTTACTTACTTACCAGCGTAAACAACAAAAACAGAAAGAAATAAAAGACGAAAGCGTCAGATGGTAACTGCTTTCGTTATATATGGTGATCGTTGTACTATGTGTGTGTGTGTGTGTGTGTGTGGCTTTTTAATTTTTAACTTATGAAATTTGATGCAGCATTGATTCGCTTTACTTCCCCACTCAATCTCAATAAACCAAAAATCGAAACTAGAATAGAAAAGTAATTGCGGCTTAAAGCGTAGCTTGAATACTCTTCACCCCAAGATAATAAAAAAGTTGCGATTTCTTGTTCATTGCTACGTACAGATGAACCTTATTATGAACCTTACTAGGAGACAAATTCATGGCCAAGCTTGTAAGCGAATGACGTTAGTTGTAGAAGTTCACGTGTAGAATCGCATCGGATGGTATTAAAATGTCGGACTATATCTTTTTAATTATGCGTTTTCCTAAACATCCACTTATCAGTGCCAAGATGAAAGAAACATTTTCGTCCCAAAGTTACAAAGGATCGTCTTCGTCCTCTTCTTCATCCCTCTTCTTCTTCTCTGCTGTGTGTCTCTGCTGAAATCTAGTGCATCCTGACTTTACAATGCTGGAGGGTTTGGCAAAAAAGTAAATCCGCTTTCCTATTGATGGTGGAACTGCTCAAGAACAGCTATCGTGGAAAGTTATTTGATTGCCTAGACCTTTGTTCATGTAAGGTGGCGATCATATTTATTGTTGCACATGCATCGTATAATAGTCCCTTTTGCGATGTTTTTTGCGTTTTAATTACGCATTTTTGGGCATTTCTTGGCTATCTAGAACACTTCTTCGTATGCATTCTCATAATCGTTCTCGTTCTTCGTGATTTCCTAAACCCATTCCTAGGCATAGAGAATCGTTGCCTTGAAAAATCTTACTCTACCAGTACGGCCCAGAACGGAATTCTCACAGTCCGTGCGAGATCCGCAAACATTTTTAGTTATTCAATAGATACCTGATGTCTCGTTTGATTTCATTATAAAGCATTGGATACAATTTAACCTGACCACACCATCATATCAGTTCCAGATAGTTTAATAACATGTTTCAGAGAAGAAAAAACAAAGAAGAGAAGAACATAATCAACAAATATTTCCTTGAACATGTTATGAATGCGGCAGCAGTGTAGTATGGTCGTCGATATGTCACATAATACGGCCGACCGTTCCTTTTCTTAAATCGAGCTTTAATACTTGTTTTTGTATTCATGAAACGCCGCAGCAATTTATTGAAGCGCATTTCCTTTTTCGTATGTTTTTCGCTGCGTTAAGCAGATTTTTGCAAGCATTGTTTTTTTTTGTGGTTTTCTTCTTCTCTACATGCTTTACAAAGCTTTTATGAATACATTATTTCGTTTACATAGCTGAAGAGATATGAAAGAAGGTAAGGGGAAGAAAAAATGCAAAACAAAAAAGAGAAAGAGAAGGAGGGAAGGGGTAAAGAATTATTAAATATGATTACTAAAAACGATAAATGTGGTAAAGCGATGGTGCTGACGATTATTATTTAATATACGTGCCATGAGAATCTGTGAAACACTCATGTAATCTCCTGATGAATTGTTGATAACACAATCACTTTAACCGATTTATTTGATGGCATGCATTAAAAAAAAAAAACAAAAAAATACATATTCAACATCCTTTACAGATAGGTAAAATATCACGTACTACGACAAAGTGAAACGCAATTATTTTAAATAACTCTTTTTTTTTTTAACAAACATTTATATACACAAGTGGAGCAGAGTAGTAGCGGTATCAGCAATTGTGTACCCAGAGTAATTAAAAAGGAAAGAATCCTTAAATACTCATCGAATCAGAATTCTTTCCGCTATGTGCGTTAATCTTCCTTATTTTTATATCCTACCTAACCCTTGGTACACGCTGGTAGTACTCTTAATTTGAACAGATATATGCGCCACTTGGTAAAAGTGTAGGTAGATCTAGCTCTCTCTCATATCAATGAATGCAACTCCTGTTGAGTCTGTTTTTCGACTTGTAAAGCGAAGCTTCCAAAATATTTTGATGAAATGTGGAGCACAGTGATATGCTTTGGCTTTAAAAAAAAAAAAGTCATTGTGTAAAGAAAATTTTCTCACACTCCTCTAAATGAGTCAGTAAAAACTAGTATGTAATATATTGAGTCTTGTGGCGACTCTGTAGCCAATATCGCATATAACGCCTTATGTGGGAGCACTGAGAAAGACGTGAGGCCCTGCTGAAGGTTTTAATTGGAGGACATGTCTCTTTTATCCCCGTAGAAAACTTGTCCCGAATGTATCAGTACGTAAGCGCAACACATCGCAAGCTGCGCCGTTGCTCAAGGATATCGCGAAGGCTTCCAAGCAAATTTCGGAAGCTCTCGCCTACACATGCGAGTTATTCTCTAATTTTCGACGAATTCAGGCAGTGCAAATTGTGTGGATATTGGCTGGAGCGAAGTATTTTTTGCATCGCTTTAAGGAACTTAAACTCTTCCCTGCGTCTTTCAATACTTCGAACACATGTTCTGTCCAACGAATATCATTTTGTATTCTCATGTCCAGGACACCATTCTAGAGCCATAAATATTGTGCTTATTTAATGAACAGATTTATGGACAGATGCGAACATAGAAGCAAGTCCTTTCAGAACCGCGAGCCAGGCATTGGTATGTGCGATGCGAATGCTTTTTTGAGTGACTACTACTTACTTGTTTAAGCCTCTTCTTCCTGCATTGGTGGTTCTAGACACTATTTTTAATCAAATGAAATATGAAGAAGAGAAGAGCTCGAGCGCTCGAGAGCACTCGAACAATTCCATGTTTTCATGATGTGTTTTCTAAAAGAAAATTCCGTATTTCATAATTACTTTATATCAATAACCGGATATGAAGCAGGCAAGGCATTAGAATCAATCAGTTGTAAACAAATAAATATTAAATTAAAAAGAAAGAATAATTTTTAGCCCTCTTTATGAAATTTGAAAATTTAATTACGGACTTTTTTCCATAATTTCTTTATTCCATTTCAGATGCGGAAAATAATGCAACCAAAGGAAAAGGCAAATTAAACGTCAAAAGGTGAGTGAGCTAACTACTCTTCTATAGATAATAACCACAAGGAGAAATTTAAAACTATTTTCCTTTTATTTAAAACGAGATGAAAGCAACATATAATTGTTGTGCTGATGCTTATCAATTTTTTAAAGTAACATAGTTTTCTTTTGCCCAAATTTCTTACTAGTCTTACTAGTTATTGAGGTGGTTTACCTGATCTCTTAAATAATTGCAATTTGCACTTGTTTGTAAAATTGTGAAATTGTAAAATTGAAGTATTTTTCTTGTCTTCTCTTGGTCTTTTTCATGCTTTGTTTTGGGTATATATATATATATAAATATCTTGTTTCATAAATTTTTCATAAACTCTGTGGCTTGAGTGTGGTCTTTTGTTTCTCTTTGAAATGTAATTATTTTTATTTTTTGTTCGGTTTTCTAAACTAATTTACGAGTTTTTACCTACCGTACGCACGTTGCAGAATATCATCAGTAGAAGATATCTTTTCCGCCCTCCAACTGATTCCCAATGTCAACTTGTGAAATATTATTACGATCAAGTGGGAGTTGCACTAAACACTATTTCATATTTCGTTTTATCGTAAAGAAGCCAAAACATCATCTTACGACGGTTGGCTAATGCTATCTAAGGAATTGCTTTTGGTTTAAATGGGAAGCGTATGAATGGGCAGGGCAGTTAGGGCGAACTGCTTTGAGAGATGGTTACAAGTACTTACGAGTAGGCTGTCTAGGGAAAGGAGAGCAAAAATTCGCTTCTGCCAAGAAACTCTAGATTTGATTTTTGTAATAAATCTTTTAATCCTTTATAAAAGCCCTTGAAAGCTATGGGCCTTCTGGCCATTATTCGCTATTCTAAGAAAACCTTGAGTACGCTCTCTGCTATGTGAAAATGTCGATATTTGTTGCAAGTAGGAAATTACTAAGCTGACCGTTGGAGTCTTCTTCAAATTTTTCCCTAAGAATTTCATTCTGCACGTCGTGCACAATTTGTTTGTGCATTTAAAGAGTTTACAATCGCAAGCTACTCCTCTTTCCCCACCTCTTACTTTCTCGACATTATTTAATAAAGACCTACTATTAGAATGGTACGCTAAGTTGGTGATTACGAAAGCTTGTGAAATTGATAAAAAGGATTTTTTTAATTGGCCAACTACTTAAGATGGGTCATAGGTGGTCTTCGAGCAAAACTCATCTCTAAAAGAAGGACATATTGACAGTAAAGACTATCAATGGTTGTTGATGCGTATGTTTAGGTGTTAAAAACGAAGCAGCAGATCCTTAAAATAGCAAAACCTATCACTTGTCTAGAAAGAGTATGAAAGCTTAACTTTACTCTCTTCTTTCACACACACTATCTTTTTCTATATTTCTTTCTTTCTTTCATTCTGTTTCTCTTACTCCCTTTTCCAACGGGTCGTTTCCCTTTATCTTTCGCTTTGTTCGTATCTCTATTTTACTCTTCTTTCTCTCAACTTTGCCCTCACTCCCACTTCTCGCTCCATAGAAATTATCCTTCAAGCAAAACAATTATGCCTTAGTCCCGCTAAGAAAAGTGAAGCAAAAAATCTTATCCTAAAATGTAAATAGTTTAAGTAGGTTAGGTGGACAAACTACTGTTCCTGGGCTCCTTTCCAAATCTATATCTCAGAACTTTGAAGTATAATTTTCATTGTTCTAAATGACTTTGCTGTGCCCCCCCTGTTTTAGTTCCTAAATGGAAAATTTCCCTGAGTTGCAAAGACAGCATGTCAGCAGCAAAGATTTCTGTTTGCATAAGATAAACATTTCGAATAAGGAAATGTTTAAATCCTGGCGCTGCTAAGTTAAAAATTTATTTTTCTTCAGTAAGCAAAAGGAAGGCAAACACTAACAACACTTTACCTTATAACAAAAATTGCACACAACTCCTCCTGCTGTTTCATCGACAATTACACTTACCTTCTTTATCATTTGTTTTCAAAAAGTTATTTGCTTTGTTCTAAACGGATCAGCTGATGCATCTATGGCGGCTGACAAGTGCACAACAAGTGCAAATACGCATTGTATGTGTTTAAATTTTAACAGGTTCTTGTCAAAAGGACGAATGAATTTATTACCATTTTTTTCGTCTCGTTAAGACTGTTTGTTTTTAGAGTTGTTGCCGCTCTCCCATCACGTTCGTACGGCCGCCTGTGATTTAAAAAAAAAATATTTTCACTTAGAATTTATGCAATTCTCTACTTTATCATCCTGCACGTCCTGTCCTTCGCAGTGCAAGACTTAAAGACATTCATTACCTTGAGATGGGTTTGAGGCACAACAACATATAATTATTACTATTGTTATTAATTTCGGTTTAGTTCATCATAAACAAATGCTGAGAAAATGTTATTTAGCCTCACTTACGATTAGATTTTAAGATCTCTAGTAAATATATTCCTTGAAATTTTCTGTCTAAACCTTTTAATCTGGAAAAAAAGTTGAAGAACAAATTTTGGATCCTGCTGGAGCTTTCTTGGCGGGTCTGAGTGAACCCTCACTCGCTGTAACCCAATAAGATCAGCATACATTTGTTAGGCCATTACTAGTACCTCGAATGTTTTGAAGCCTTCAAGTTTACGCAAATATACTTTACGAGTATATTCCACAACTTATGTCCGATCCGAATACTTTCCAGAACAAGAAGGATTTTTTCAAAAAAAAGAAAAAAGGAGAATGGGTTTGATGCAAATTGAGAGAAAAAATTCCTTCTTAGAGATGTCCATCAATTGCCTGCGATACAAACGTTATCCGAATAAAATGGTGGAGCTGCACGAATAAAGGTTAAAAGTATACCGCAGCACGTCCTCAGTAGTATAGTGTCTGATCTAATGAATAATTCACATTCTCTGCGCATTCACATAGATTAACGCGTAAGTCAAAGCAAAAAGTGGTAAAATGGAGAAAATGTTCTATTGCTTCAGACGAAAAACCCACTCAAACTGCTGTGCCCTGGAAGTTGCTTAACTTAAACAAAATATTTGTTTTCTTTTTTCCTTTTTTTTTTGCGCTCAAAAACAATCTTTTATATATGTGATAATTACGAATGATATGAATTTGAGTCTTGTGGCACCACCCAAGTACTTGGTTAAGTCGATATCATCCAGCCTAAACAAAATTTCGTTTTCAACATCCTTTCCTTTTTAAAGGTAACTTGAATGAATATTGTGCGCCAACGAGGCGGCCCCGAGACATTCATCTTGATCTAAACAAACTAATTCTTGTTATTTGAGATTTAGCAAAAATTAAAACAACTGGTCCTGTTGTTTACTCTCCGATCATTGGCATCATAGTTCATTGGTTTCGTACAAATGACCAAACTGACCGCAGTGCACTGCATCATACATTTATTATAAACATTTTAAAGATGCCTAAAAACCGTAATCGCTCCGCAAAGAGGAAAGGAAAGAAAAAAAAAGAAAATTGAAATTTGATCTTCAAGTAGAGGAGGATTATGTTACATAATAAACACACAAACTTGCCAATCTGCAGAGATATACGGACAAGCGAGAAAAGATCTGTTATTAATGTCTCTATATTCAAATTTATCCACATGGTGTACTTCTCATGCATACGATGTATATTGAACTCCTGTCTCTCTTTCTCTCTTTTTCTCTCTCTATCTCTCTCTCTCTCTTTCTCCTCCTATAGGTTTTAGTGGTAAAAAAAAAAAAAAAAAAAATATCTTCTTTCATAAAATGAACCGTTAATGTGTCCAACTATATATACAAATCTTTGTATCACAAAGAGGAGTAGAAAAAAAGACAAAAATTACATTTTTCTTAGAGATTTTTTTTTTCTGCCAGCTTCTGTGCCTCTGAACGGCTATTAAGTAAATTCCATAGAATCGATTGTTTACATTTCTCTTCAATTTATCCTTGAAATTGTGTTTTTAAACATGTGTTAATCTCTTTTTAATTTACATAGTTAAAGGCTTGTGTACGCATCCGAAGACCTAACACGATGTCGCCTTTGCTTTGCTATGGCATATAAAATTCTCTCCGGCATACTGATCATGTGGATGATGGGGATGGGAGATAATTCTATGCAAGCTTTTTGTTTTTAAATTGCCTGGCCTGTCTCAGGAAATCCTCCTGAAGGTTTTTTCAAGCAATTTACATATATATGTTAAGTCAAATGTAACTTCTGCAGTTAAAGCAAGGGATCATCCCGCCAATTGCCAATTACACGAAGCAAAGAGGGAAAAACCATAACTGCCGACTCATCCTTGATTAGTTCTGTGTGTGTGTGTGGCCAATGTGTGGTACATTCAATACCTTTTCTATACATCGTTCGACCTTTTTTCCAACTTATCAATGACAACATTAATAGAAAACAAAGGCAGTTACCGCCACTTGTGTTAATGATAGTTTTTCTCAGAATACACTCCGCTTAAGTGAAATATATTTCTTTAGGAAGAAAGGTAAACAATAAGTCAGCCACAAGTCCCGTTTTCCCTTACAATAACAACGGTTGAGATTTTTAATTTAAAAAAAAGAGAAAAAACAAAAAAAAAAATATTAAAAATTAATTCCAAAATATATCCAAAGTCACACAAAAGAAACATCAAAGAATGCGTGGTTTGCACTTGTATCTATTGTGAACGCTCTTCTCAATCTATAGAATATTCTCCTTCCAGTTGTATATATAGAAATTATTTTTCACTTGAAAGGGCTGTTCTGCTGTTACATGATCTCACATCTCGCAACATTTAAAGCTTTGATCTTGTAAAGTTCAAACTAGATTTCTTCGAGTAAACATTTGCAGGGAACTCAGTTAGGTAGTTGCACTGGTCTGGAAATATTTTGTTTAATTGGAATAGTCTACTATCCTGCCCGAAGATCAGAGAACTACAGAGAGGCAACATTGCAGCAAATTAAGTGAAATTGAGTAGTTCCACTAAACTCGTCGAAAAGGACACATTCGGAACTGTGACCAAGCTGCTGTATCAGCTTGAATTAACGTTGAAGAACTGCGACCACTTTTTC